CCACCGTAAGCACGGGCCTGCGGGATCAGAACCAGACCCGAGCGTACGGCGCGTCGCGTTCCGCGCGAGCCTCATGGAGCCATCAGACCACCACAGATAGGGCTGATGCCGATACGGAGCCGCGGAAGACGTTAGGTCTTCCGCCTTTAGGGTTGCCGGGGCCCCGGCTCGAAGTGCAGGAGTAGGAACGGGGTGGTTTTTAGTCAACAAGAGTCTGACACTCCCTCTCGCCTCACCCGGATGGGAGAAGTCATTGGATGATTATCCGCCGTCAAAAAAAAAAAACAAACAATCACTCAAATAACAAAATAGTCCCTTCAAGATACCAGGAGTTCATAAAGAGCACGAACGTTGAAAGACACGCAGAACAAACACAAGGCTGGAATATTTTCATAAACAAACTGTCAAGTTTCCTGGTAACCGTTCGATGCCTTTGTGTACTTTCGAAGAGTAAGATAAACAGTAGGGTGACTGATAATGTTACCCTTGGTTGATCTGCAAACATAACATGAAAATAGCGGGTTCAAAACTAAAATAATAAAATTCAGTTAATATCTATCTAGGTATATCGAAGGCTGTTCCCCTGTTCCATGGCCCTCGAAGAATGTGGAAAATGTCAGCACTGTTAGAATGGAACCACCGTTAGATTCCACTGCTGTCCTATAAGCCTCGTTTCAAAAAAGGAGTTTTCCATAATCACACGCGTGAGGCCCTACCTGTGCTCGCAGGCGTCCTTCCGGTAGATCTTGAGGTGCAGCGACGTGCTGCTATGTACTACAGTGCGAGGCCTAATTTGTCAGCAAGCTTTCTAGCACAACGTGATAGAAATAAAATTGATAGATTGTTTAAGCCAGTGACGGACGTTTGGGGAGAGCTTATAACCGAATGGCAGTGTAGATGGGCATCTTCTATTAAGGGCCGCCACCTGTATCAGTTTTTGCCATCCGTGCATGAGCGGACATGGAGAGGACATGGTTGGAGGTGGATCACTGTGTTGCCCAATTTCTTACTGGCCACGGCAACTTTAAAAGCAAATTGTTCTCATTTAAACTTATTGATTCACCATGGTGCCAATGTTCGACAGAGGAGTTGCGATACGAGCAGTCGGCCCATCACATACTCTGGGAGTGTGATCTCTGGCAATATGAACGTAACACTATGTTAAATAATTTAATTGTTTCGTCAGGTGTAGTTTATTATACGGACCTTGTGGAATCTAGAACGAATTTCCGTGCGTTTAGGCGTTTTTGCCATACCTATTATTGGAAGCAAGTATAACAGCTCACACATAGGACCCACTTAGTTTTTAGTCAAATTTCCGTGGTGCTTGGCGACTGGGCTTCACCCAGTTGTACAGTCTCTTCTTTGTGCCTTTAGGCTTAATTCATTCTGTCTCCTGCAGTAATTCACCGAGGGAAGTGAAAACCATAGTTTTTCTTCTTCTCCTCTTATAATATCTTCTGATTCACTTCGTTGCGGGAACCAAGACAGTTACTCGTGTCCCTGGGACGCGCCGGACTTCAGTGTTCCGGTGTTTTCATGGTTGTATCTACTGTAGATCCTGGCTTACAGGAGTTGCAGCGGTTTTGGGAGGTTGTGCCGGGCTTGTCCCAAAAAAAAAAAATCACCACGCGTGGCAAGTTGCTCTGGATTCTGGATACCCGCGGGAAGAGTTGTGAGTTGGTGACAAATTTCTTGGCGGCGAATCTTTCACTTAGAAGTTAGAAGTAAAGTACTTAAAAGTAAAAAAATACAATAATACTTTGCTGTCGAGCTGTCGAGTTTCCGATCCCTGGTACTAGTAGTTCATAAGCACTGAAGAGGTTTTACCCATGTAAGTTGCAAACATAAATAAAAAGTTTTATTGGAACATGGGCCTTCCGCTTTCTAGCAGGGAAAGTTGATGGGCATTATTATTATTTTGTTTGTTTATCAAACACGGGATATTGTATGGAAAATATTTATATTAGGAAACCGTATTATATTCGGCCGTCTCAAAATGTTGATTTATTTTCAGGTATTTCAGGATTTTTGTTACAAATTCCCAGTTCTACAATATTTCAGCGCTAACGCCTTGTTTGGAATGGTATCTGCTATAGTGCTATATGGTAATATGCTTACATGGGACTTGTAATCATCATCATTATCATCATCATCGACAGCTGGAAGACGTCCAATGCTGGACAAAGGCTCCCCCTTAATCCTCTATGTCGTACTAACAACGCGATGTTAAGTAAGACAATGTTCCATGTCATTCCATAATTATTTTTCTTTCCTTAACTTTTTTCAAAAGTTGCGTACCATTTACCCCTTAGGGTAACACCAAGGTTTGTTGTATTACCCAATTTACCCCACGATCTAGTAACATGTTAACTCGGTAACAACCTTGCTACTTATTAATTTAATTAATGTTAATTAGTGCAGCGTCACACGATGTTTCTAATTGGCTGTGGTTGAGCGAAGCTCCATGCTTAGTTGGAGAATGCTTTCAAAATAAATGTAGTTCATTTTGTACAGCCTTGATACATGTTTTGGGAGTAAACTTTTGATGTGGTTATGTGAATTTTTGGTTGAGTTGGCAAGGCGCATGTAATGCAAGCGCCCCAAGTGTTGCAAGCGTTCATAGGTGGTCTAGCGTTCATAAGCGTTCTAAGGTCTTTAAGTGTGGGAGAGCCATGCTTCGACACGAATGGGCCGGCTCGACCGGAGTGACACCACGGCCTCACAGTAAACCGACGTGAAGCAACGCTTGCGTTGTTTCATCGTGTGAGTGAGGTTACCGGAGGCCCAATTACCCTCCCCATCCCCAATCTCCCCAATTCCTGAATCCCCAACGATCCTCAAACTCCTAATCCCCAAAAGGCCGGTAACGCATTTGGAACGCCTCTGGTGTTTCAGGTATCCATTGGCGACGCCGATTGCTTACAATAAAAATAAATAGGCCACGGTAACCACTTACCATCAGATGGGCCGTGTTTGTTTAGCCACCGTCGAAAAAAACAGTATTGTTGAATCATTGATTGAGTTATTTATGTTATGTTATCGCAAGCCGTGGAGTTGAGCAATATGATCCTTAAAGTTTAATTTTCTCAAAGCAAAACGGAGCATTTGTTACTTGAAAGTAATTTCTAACTAGTTCTAAAGTGTTAAGGAAGTTTTGTGAACATTTTAATTGAAATGTCGCCAACATTCAAACTCCGTTATGAACTAAGTTTTATACAAAAAGATATTATGACAAAGTTATTAATGGTTTCCTCGTAAACACATCATGACAAGGAAATTATTCTTGGCTTAATTATGAAAAACATTACAAATCTTATTAATCTAAAAAAGTACTTACAAGGACTAGTATGATTTTTCTCATTCGTCGTTAGCATTGTTTCTGAGAAACTACCAAATAGATGAAATACCAATATATCTTTTAACTAGCTTCTGCCTGCGGCTTCGCCCACATTCCCATGGGTAAAAAGGCTATAAGTTACTCCAGACCATAATCTACCTCTGTTCCAAATTTCATCCCGATCCCTTCAACCGGTTTTTTTTTAAACGTTGCCCCACACTAGGATTTTCTCCTGTGTCGTGGGTGCGTTTACAAACATACAAGTTCACATACACAATGATACCCAGACCCGGAACAATAATTTGTGGATCACACAAGGGGTTGTTCCGTGCGGGAATCGAACCCGCGACACGTTGCACGGCAGCCGGTTGCCCAGCCACCGCACCAACCGTGCAGTCGTTTGATATGACTGAGTAACAAACATACATACAGCCTCACAATTTTTTACATTTATAATACCGAATCAAGCTAATTTCAACTATTGGTCCTAAAGCTACAGCGAAAATTTCACTGCGGGCAACATAATATTCGACAAACTTAAAATTACTTAAGTATATTTAGATAACATTTTTCTTGAAACAATAAATAAAATCACAATTAATTAACATAACAAAGACACGTTAAATAAACGAGGTAATGTTTCAAATAAAACAAAAACTAACGAAAAACGTAGACGCAAACCGTTTACCTACTCAAATTAATAAATGTGTAGGCAAAAAGCTAGGGAAGTAGGCAAACTGACATTTATTTAGTTGTCCCCGTAAAAAGTGGGGTAAGAGTAACTCGTTTGTTAACCCTAATTTATTCTACCTGGCTCCCAACGATAAGGGTCGAAAACAGTTGTTGAAAATTGCACATTGTTAGATGTTTATAGTCTGTTTGACTGTGAGGTCTGCCTTAATATGGTTTGGTTTCTCGATTATCAAAGATCTTAAATGCAATATACGCTTTTGTTGGCCATGTAGTGGAAGTGTGACTTTGGAGCAAGAGGTCTTGGGTTCAATTTCAGCATCGGGTTCGTAATTGGGAGGTATCGGTTTTTCGAAAATTCTTTGTGTCGAATTCGGATTAATCTAACATAACATCACGCCTTTAATATCTGGAGGAGTGCACATTACTGCACCGAATGCCATTGTACAATGTAACACCCACTTTTCACTATTTATTGAGTCTATTGCCATATAAAGGGCGCATTTCCAGACTGCATGCCACTACTGCGATGTTTTTTAAAGACCCGGGAATCGAACCCTAGACCCCTTGCCCTACGGCGTCCTCACCTACCGCCTGACGCAGGTCCTCACCGGACATGGAAGTTTCGGGAGGTACCTGTGTCTGATGGGGCGGGAGGAAACGCCCGTGTGTCATCACTGCGAGGACCACCCTGAGGACACGGTGGAACATACAGTGGGAGAATGCCCTGCGTGGGCTGAGCACCGCCGTGCCCTCAAAAAAAAAAGACCCCTTGCCCGGCAGTCGCACTTGCAACCACCCGGCAAACGAAGACTAATGTAATGTTCTAAATATTGCACAGTATACTTACGTTAACTTATAGCCAAAACTTTTGATAATCCCTGTTTACATCTAGTAAAAAAAGAAAATGGATTAGAAATGGAAAAGGAAAATTTCAGTTAAAGTAAAACTTCAAATTAAAATCGTTCACAACGTTTTTATTGCACCGTGTAACATTTGTATAACGATACCTAAAACTTACTTACATTTGTTTTTCTAGTCACACAGCAATAATATACAAATTTTTGGCCTCTATGAAAAACAATGAAAACATAAGATGTTTTAAATAAAATAGTTTTAAACCAAAACTTTTCTTCATTGCTATTAACAATTTTCGTCTTCTAGTACACATAAAAAAAAACAATAATTTAATTCTAAATTTAAAAAAAAATTGGACAGGTAACAAGACATAACTTAATTGAAATCTCTTTTCCCGCCAAATATTCTAAATATTCTCCAACGAACATCATAAGTGTCAAAATGTTTAACTGTCAAATTAGACAGGTGTCAAAGAGACAGTGACTTTGACATTTATATCCTAACCGATTGCATTAATGGGCAATTATTTAACTCACGTGTTACCTAATTCCTCACTTTTCTAGTAATTATAATTACAATAATATTTAACAGTAAATAACTATTGCCTATCAATTCTAAGTTCACACAGCAATTTATGCAATATTTATTGTTTAAAATGATATTTTATAAGTCCATGTCAAACTGAGAAATATTAGCTTCGCCCAATTTCTTACATCTTCATTATACAATTAATATCTTAGTAGATTTTCTCTCTTTTCTCAAAATCTTGGATAACATTTCTCATTTCCACCCAAATTTATTGTTTATCAAACATCTCGATAAAAATTGTAAAAAATATTCTAATAACTATAAAATGCAACAAATTGTAAATATATTATTTTACAACGTTAGGGTTCTTCCTAATGCTAATAAAGAAATTGTTTACAAACAACATGAGATAGAGGAAGCACATTCATAAAAAGCACAACACAGAGTCATTATAGGACTAGAAGAATTCGGTGTATGATAACTACTATTCATTGAAGAACATAATACAAAACCATTTAAAAATATCATAGAAGATAGAAATGAAATAGTAACTAATGATTCTAAAACATTAGCTAAAGAAGTAAAAGAAAGTAACACTAAAGATAGAAATGATGATAAAAATCTCTCGTTTACAGATCTTAATGAGTCAGTTACACATTATTTAATCTATAAAATTGTACACGCAACATTCACAACTTATCAGGTATGCCGAGACTCTAAACAGTAACTAGATATCGAAGACTTAGTAGAAAAGTGTAAAAGTACCCTGAAATAAATTTAATACACGAATAAGTTTAAAGCTTACATATTGTTAGAAGGGCGTATTATTACGGTGGGATCATGAAACTTGATTACAAAAATATGAACTATGAAGAAAATTTTGGGGCTCTAGACAACCATATTGTAGAAGTTGAAGCATTTTTTCCACTTACTACGAAGAGATGAGTTAACATAAAGGTTCAAATTATAGATATTTTGATGAAATAGAATATAAACAGAATACAATTAACAAAATTCGCAGTAACGATAACGAATATCAACTCATTTCAATAAACAGAGATACACAGGCACCAGAAATAATTGAGCTTTTGTTTAAACTGTTCAACCAATATCAATTTCATTTTATATTCATTTCATGTTATAACATCATTTGCGAAACCACTTTCTACAAAGCCCAAAATAAATTGAATTCTCCGGTATTTAATCAGTAATTTAAATAATACCAACAAGCGTTGGAAATTGAAATTCATTGAAGTCATTGTGGCTTTTGGCAGAAAAGTTATTTTATAGGATAAAACCTTTCATTGTTATACTTGAAGAAGTATCAACAATTTTCGAAGTAAATTCAAGGAAGAAAAATATTGATAACGTTAAAACAACGGCAATAGATTGTGTCCAAAGCTATATTCAGCCAAAAAAGTCTAATATTTCTTTTCATATGTCATAATTGGGGTTGGCTTTGGCACAAATCGTTCGTGGAAACCGCTTTTCTCTAATACAATGAATTATTACGGTTTCATTATTGGTTTGAGAGGGATCAATGTGTGATCAATCCATTATTTATGTTTGTACGATTATTATTCCACAATAAATTGTCCTATAGTTCCATGAATTGCGTCATCTGAATTGGTTATTGACCCAATAACTGTGATGGGAATACGAAATTATGTAACAATATTTACTACTCATACAACCGTTGAACATTAAACATTCGCATTATTAACAGCATTCATTATTTCTAAAATGTGTGCGTTTAGACATGAAGTGGACTTGATTGTTTCAATAGAACCAAAATAGTTTATATTTAGTTTAAGAGAATCTTTGAAATCGCATTCACCTTAAGTCAAGGTGAAACAGACTAAAATAGATAATAATATATAAAACGAATTAACTTTTAGTAAAAGACCAACTTTCAAATTGGTTCGAAGTTACATGAATTATGGACCAATTTTACGAGGGTTAGATTGGATTTTGCACAAACGAGGCCCATCGAAAGTTTTCAAGTGCAAGTTTCCCAATTGATGAATCTGCAAAACCTGCAGACGAGCAGTGAACGGTCAATTATAAAACCTTAAAATAGACGAACACCCCGTTTGAATTACATAACTTCCATTACTTAATTAAATTGGATTAGATAAACAAAGATTTATGGGTCAAAGTAATCTTGTAAAGACTTCTAAGGACCCATGTTTATGGTTCTATTAAAATAATCAAGGGAAGGGTCAAAGTAATTAACTGTGCTAAGCAATCACGCACCGAGTCTCATGTGTACTCCCGCCGGCTGAGGAGTCGGGCGGTGGCTCCGAGCTTCTACCTCCACCACTCCACTCGAGAGCGTCTATCATTTCCATGAGCTCTTTGAACACAGCTATAACTCTCCAATTATATTTAGCTGAACACTCCACGTAGCCACACTTCCAGTGCTTACGAACTAAGTTTACGATATTTCTTCTCTTCTCTCTTGAATCTCCACATGCGCTCTCAGCTATCGCAAGTTGCTGAAGTCCACTCGCTGCTGACGGAGTGTTACTACACAGTAGGTCCTGTTTATTGCCGACCACTAACACTGGTACATTTCTCATGTCCCGACTTTCCACCATTTGGTCTCTCAAAGTTCGTATGTACTGGAAAGTTTCAACGTTAGATAAATCGAAGACTAGGATGTAGGCTGTAGCGCTTCTGAGCCCATAAAAACGGTAGTGAGCCCACTCGTAGTATGAATTTATTGGGAAGTACGGTATAACTGGAACGTCCGTAATTTTGACTTCATATAAATGCTCGTTGATGATCACCGAAGGGTAGAAGGTATGTTTACGGTCGGTTGGCACGTACTCCTCCGAGAAATCGCTCCACACGAATTGCTGCGAACAAGGAAAAGGAAAACGGTTTTTAAAAGGGGTCTTGTAAAGTGACTAAGATGGATTTGGGTTGGATTCATTAATCACCGTATAAGCTGTGCCTCACCTCGCCCGGATGTGTCGTTATCGGGCTGACGACCCGACATCAAGTGTGCGACACGGGCAGTAACTTTGACAGTTAGGCGCGAGGAACTTAGCTATTGCTCCTAGGGGAGAAGATTCAGTACTCTTTTGTGACCTGTTTTTGTTTGCCTTGAAATGTGTTTGCATTTACTGTACAATGGAAAGGTTTTGTGATTATGATTTAAAGTAACAGATAAATAATAAACATACAAAGTTGAAGTACAATTTTCAAAGTCGGGTTTAAATAAACCGTTCTATTATTTTAATGAGTATTTATTTCATTTTATGTAATGTTAAATTTATGTTTTGAGTTACCAAACTTAGACCTGCCTAACATGGTGTTTACCTATTCTTTGGGTGCATAAATACATTTACAATAGCTTACCAAATTTCATACAAAATTAATACAACAGTAGTCTTTAAACATTGGAAATAAGTTCTATAATAAAGGTGGGTGAGAGAGGGCCGGTATTCTCTTGGCTTCAATTTGGCATAAAATCTAGAAAAAAGACTGGCTGCCGTGCAATGTGTCGCGGGTTCGATTTCCGCACGGAACAACACTTTGTGTTATCCACAAATTGTTGTTTCGGGTCTGGGTGTCATTGTGTATGTGAATTTGTATGTTTGTAAAACGCACCCACGACACAGGAGAAAATCCTAATGTAGGGCAACGTTTTTAAATAAAGAAAATAAAAGTTCTGTCACTACAAATTCTTTGTAAAACGACAGAGATGGCACGATATTTAAGTACAATTTGAAGTTAGTAGCTTTTCAGAATTCGGGCGAGACTTTCACAAAACCAATGTTTCTACAAAACAAAAATTATCTAAATGCAAATCTCACTCGCTCCACATATTGCGATCACAAAATTTGACTTTGTAACAGAACATACAAAGTTTATTCATGACAAACAAACAAACAAACAGTACAAAACTAACGCCCAGGTGTTCTGAGGTAAATGTAAACTGCAGTTGTTTTCAAACTATCCACACACCTATTTGGTATACATCTGTGTTTGAAGCTTTGTGTATATGTTGATTATTGAATTTGTGTTAACAATTTTTTCTGAAACAAGTTTGTCTCCTGATTCACATAATAACATCACGCATTTTATCTCCGAAGGGGTAGTCAGAGTGTACATTACGGCACTTAATGCCACTGTACAATGTAACAACCACTTTCCACTATTTTTGTTAAGAGTCTCATGTAATAGAGGGTGAGCCTATAGCCATATACCAGGCAAACTTGTGTGGGGTAGCATTTAAAAAAAAGAAAGTTAATATTATGAGCTTTGGTTATAAGACTAGCAGCTGGTTTGTATCTTTATAGTCTGAAAAATTAGTTTATTTGAATGACAGTAAAAAGCAATCTTTACTCATTTTAATGACTGAAAGAAATGTTTTATAATAACTATCGTGAGACACACTAAATTAACTAAAAATCGCGGGTTACTCACGTGAAGATAAATGATAAAAGCTCTACTAGTTTCGAGCCACAGAGGGGCTCTTCGCGGCGATGTCGCGCAGCCTACACTGTTAAAGCCTTTTTTAGTATTATTGCGAGAGTAATAGGCGATTTTTAAGCTAACTAAAAGAAATATTGAAATCTTTTCAGTCTGTATTTCAATAGTAGGCAAATCGTACTTATTTTAAATTAACGCTATATGTATGTATGCCTTGGTAGACTGAAGTATGTGGTTTAGTAAAATATTCATAGAATATTTGATCAGCTAGTTACTCATGTACATATTTGAAAATGTCATATTGCATTACGTGAGGTTTCAGAAACGAGAGTGAGAGAAGTTTCGGAATAAATGTTGGTGTTCTGGTTTGATATCTTTTGGTAAAGCAAAATTATTGTAGTTCGTTTTTGTTTAGTTCAAAAAATGCAAAGTTGTTGGGTATTTTCATATGAAATTTTTTGGAGCGAATAATTGAAATATGATTTTTTTCTTC